ACACACGCACACACACACACACACACACACACGCGTGCACGCACACACACGCAGACTGAGAGAGACTGAAAGACAGATAGAAATAGATGTAGATAGGTAAGGATATAAAAATAGATGTAGATGGATAGATATAAAATAGATATCGATCGAGAAATATAAAAATAGATGTAGATTGAGAGAGATATACAAATAGATGGAAAGATAAATGGATAGATAATATAATGCATACACAGACTATAAAATACAATTACTGTATCGATGTGGATACATACAGTTTACCATTACTATTATTCTTCTTCTGATTATTATTATTCTTATATTTATTACTAACACCATTACTCACATTACGGAATTAATTCAAAACAGTTGTGTAAAGAAAGAATTCCTTTCATGTATAATGTGTGCGTACAGCTGCATGCACAACCATATTATACAGACGTGATAATCATTTCAATTCAATATATTAGATTAAGTGGATTTTATTAATTGTAATTATTATTTGCATAAAAAAATAGTAGCTGTAATTTAGTGACTTTTCGTACCACAAATAATGGTTCTCTCCACTGACCATATTCATGTTCAAGTCTGATATATAAATGTCGGCTAATAACCGCAAGAAAGTATGAATTCCTTACCGGCCAGCTGAAGTTGAGGGGCAACCGCAACCTGGAGTCCGGCTGCATGCTGAACGAGTCGGTGCCCAAAACAGGTGTACTGGCCTTGGCAAAAAGACAACCTCCTGGAGTCACCACCGTTTGGAAATTCTTCAAACAAACCGTGAAAAAAGTCCTGCAGCCGCTCACGCCGCAGCTCCTTCCACTGGCCAGCGAACTTTTGGAATTATCAAAGTGATGTAGATCGATCTCGAACACACCTGACCCCAGAACCTAGACACGAGGCGAAAGTTCAGCAAGGGAAAAAAAAACCACACATTTTCACACAAACCACCTCCTTTTCTTATACAACGCACGCACCGTACCTGAGTAAAACATGTTACAACTATTGCGAGGGTAGATGTGAACCTAACGGCCATCCTTTAGAGCTTGATGTGCGTATCCTTAGAAGTTTTTCGTCCACAAATCCTGCCGCCGGGTGGAAGATCCGAAATGCAAATAAATAGAATCCCGCAGTAGAAGCTCCAGCTCGGGGGGAAGAGTTATCCAGTGCAAAAACAAGAGGTTAGACTAATATCAAAATAGTCAATATCCACAAGTGAGTCATTCTGCGGTCTTTATGATGTCCATCCATCGTGCCGGTCACTTGTGTTACTTTGTCGCTGTTGTACTGCTGCTTTAGGGACACTTGGGTGGCCGAAAGTGATGCGTGTGCATGCATGTGGACGAGCATCAGTGCATAGTGTCACCCACTGTGGACTCAGTCGCGTCTCCCCTCTTGCTTATATATGCCCCAGCTGGCAGGAACATAACAACAAACACCACCCCCTCTCATCTGTGCCCCCCACCCCTCCTCCTTTTTTCTGTGTTGTGAGCGTGAGTGTGCGTCAGTGCCTGTGGAATAGCACGAAGAAAACAACTGATGAAGTAACATTTTTTTTCGTTTTGAGATAACTTGGAATATATACCAGACGTAGTAAAAGCCCCACAAACATTACATTTATGGAAATTATGGTGCAACAATCAAAAGGTGACTATTATAGATTGTGGGTAATTTGGGGGATTTTTTAAAAAGGGGATTCAAATGATCACAATGCAAAAATAAGATAAAGAAGCATTCATGTGTTTTGTAAATTCGAGTTGAACTGAGACAAAATGTAACTGTCGTAAAAGTGATGACTGAAGAAATCTGGAACGCAATGGCCCTAAAATGTCTTTTTGCTGTTGATGGCCAAAGGCTGAGCAATATGGATGAAAAAAGTATCATGGTAAGTAATTCATACGAGCCAGTTTTAAGAATTCTTTATTTTTTTATCGGACATAAATAAGAGGAAGAATTAAATGGATAATGAAACTACGTATATAATACAAGGCAATTACCATTCAAACTATCTACTAGTAAAAATTATTCTCAAAAAATGTACACACTGCTGTTGTGTTCATTGCAATGCAGTGTAATATTTACATCAGTGCTCCCCTTACAGTGCCATAAATGTGTGTTTACGGATAATGGTCAGAAGCTACCTCAAAGCAGTAGCATTCATAGTTACATTAACCTTCATTCATTGTTCACACAATGTTAAGTGTAGCCTCTAAAAAGAACTCACTTATACTCTCACTCTCTTCTAATTTAACTCATTAGCAAGCTCAGGCATAAGGCATTTGATTGTTCTACTGACCTGATTGTGACTTCAGTGCCATGCTGAGGGCCGGAGCCAGCATGTCATAGACTGGTAGAAAGAAAAAATTAGGTCCACATAATGCATCCATTTGGAGATGTTTAATCATGTTCGTTTTCACAATATAATCTTACTGCAAGACTTGCACTGATGCGACTGGTCATTTATTTGAACAAAGTTAAGCTGCACTTTCATTCAGAGTGCGTATGCCACGGTTTATTTTCATTGGCTCAGTGGCTTCTTCTTTGGGTCGGCAGAGGAGCACTTGGTCAGCGGTTGGCACGGTGGACAACTGATTAGCACATCCGCCTTACAGTGCAGAGGAGCAGTGTTCGATTCCAGCTCCGGCCTTCCTGTGTGGAGTTTGTATGTTCTTCCAGTGCCCGTGTGACTTTTCTCCGGGTACTCTGATTTCCTCCCACATTCCAAAAACATGCGTGGCAGGCTAATTGAACCATCTAAATTGTCCCTAGGTGTGATTGTGAGCGCAGGTGGTTGTTCGTCTATTATTGCCGTGCGATTGGCTGACAACCGGTTCAGGGTTTACCCCACCTACTGCCCGAAGACAGCTGGGATGGGCTCCAGCATGCCTGCGACCCTTCTGAAGATAAGCGGAATGGAAAACGGATGGATGGATAGAGTCAATTAACATTGAACTTTACTGAATTGTGAATTATTTATTCAGCAATATTTCTTAAATACACACACGCACACACACGTACACCCACACACGCGCACACACATAGATTTTCCTTAAAAGTATTTGCTGCAGGTGATTTGCTTTCAATGTGTCAAATTTGATAATGATCAAAATATGGATTGTAGTAGTGTAGTTCTGCATGGAGATAGACATTGTAGTTATGAACTGTATAGCGTAAGAAAAAGCCACGACTATATGCTATTGTTTATGGTTGGTGAAAAAAAAAATCAAACAATACTAAGCACCCAGCTGTTAGTTTTTCATGATTATACATCATAACCAATAATGTCAGCAATTGAAAAGCCATTTGTATCAATTGGAAAGTGTAGGGGCACCATGTTTGTTGAAATAACATCCACTCACTCCACTTTAAGAACACTTTGATCTCCTTTCAAGTGTGAGCAATTGTTCCAAACGGGGAAGAGAAAAATGAAGTGAAAACAGTATATAAAGATTTCTGAGCAAATCCAAATGCCTTATACTGTACACCTTTTCTCAGCTCATGCTGGGCACAGGGCATTGTGTCCTTTATCACTCCTGCAACAGGGCAAACGTGTCCCGGCGGGATTTAGAGTGAGGGAACAGGATTTTGCCACCGTTCCCTGGCCATGAAGGAGCGTGGTTGCACAGCTCTCCTATAGCGATGACTTCATCGCCTACCGTCATTACCTGTGACTTATGGCTTGGAAACTCCAAAGTAGGGACCAAACAATGGACTGTTAGGGCCAAAGTAGTGTAAGAAGAGGACTGTACATTTCAAACCTAACTTAAAATGTGAGATGTTCCCAACACTGACTGGCTCATTAACATGATGTCTTTAAATAGCCGTGAGAGGTTTCACCCAATTTTCAGGTTCAGATATGTGAAAATGACTTATTAATATTCATCCCATGTGTTTAAATAGGTGCTATGGAGAAAATGGCTGTTTACAGCAGGGGTTTCAGAGCCCCTGTGGGTCCATGAGTCGTAGCTTAGGGGTTGCAAATAATTTCAAAATATCATCCCTACTTTAGTTTCGGGCCAATTCAAAATCCTGCAGTGAAGTTAAATTGGCGTTCATATGAATTGGAGTCCTTTGAAAAATTCCTCCTCTGCCAGGGCTGCTTGGACACAAAAGGTTTGAGAACCTCCGGGTTATAAAATGCAGGTGGTCTCGCCTTAAAATAAAACACATTCAACTATGTTTTCATTCAAAAGCCTGTGGTGCACACAAAAATGTCTGACGAGGCAGAAACTACTTTTCCCACCATGCAACACAACTCCAACAGGTGTGCCTACTTCAGCCACTTGATTAAAGCAGGCAGTGCTGGGTATAAAAGCGAGGAAATAAAAGAGCTAAAGGAGAGTGAGAAGAGGAAGGAAAAAGATAGGAAAGACTCAGGTAGGAGAAGCCAACACAATGTGGAGGAACGTTGTTTTTGAATTCTGAGGACAGACTTTCAGTGGAAATTATTCGAAACATGAATGTACTTTTTAAGAAGAAAAAAATACATTTTGATTTTGTTGAAATTTTGACTTGAGAAGACTCCTCTTGCCCTGGCGAACCTCTTGTGGCGTCACTATATATCTAGATCTCTATCTATCTATTTATCGATCGATTGATAAATAGAGATCGATCGATCGATCGCACCATCCTTGAATCATGTATCGAATTGTCTTTTATTGGTGAGATGCACACCCCTAGTTATTTTGTTCAATGACGGTTAACGATACTGACTCTTGTCAAGAGGGAAAAATTTGTGTAGTTTCACCTTTGTATTCGTTTGACTCTCAGTTTGTTGGTCACAAGGCTTTGTGGTTCATGGGGAAGGATAAGCAGGTAGGAGTTGGCATTGTAATGTTCGGGGGTGCGCAGTTCACTTTTTTTTTTCCCCTTCATTTTGATAGTACTCATTAATCAACACAAGAATAAACAATGCAAATGTGCCGGCCTTCGCACAAATGCTAGGTTTCAGCCATAGTCCCAAGGCAGGTTTTTGAAATAGCACAGCAAAAGACATAAAACTTTAAAACCACGATGAGAGAAATAAGACCCAAATGAGTAAGACATCATAAAACAGACTAGACAAGCAGTTGCAGTACTTAATTACAAGACATTAGACCGGGAGACAAATCACTTACAGTTACAATTGTGATGGCCAGAAGCCCAGTGGAACGGGCTGGAGTCTGGAAATGGTGTTTAATGAGTGCATGTCTGATGTGTTTTAGAATTTTTTTTTTTTTTTTGCATGATCCTGATAATTTAATCTGTTATACTGTTTCCTTGTATACAATGTCTAAACAATGCTGAGAATAGGATGACTAAAACATAAGGTAGTGCTGGCCTAAGAGTTTTGAAATCTTTGCCCTGAGCAGTAGGGGATTTCGGTGCCTTGCAAATGCACCTAAAATGTCTTTATTTTCTGTCCATAATTAATCATTCTTTGCATATCAAGATAACCGATTTATCATATTTGGACTGTATAAATGGCCGTAAACATGGCATTAAATGTCAGTGCATTCAGCATTTGGGTTCTTTACTTTGGGCCAATGCAAACAATCATCTCACAAGCTCTTTTCTACAGTGCTGCTCTAGAATAAACACAGTTTTGGAACTTCTACGGGTCCATCTGTACTCACAATAGGAAATCATTTTTCTCTGTGACAGTGTTTTGTAAAGCTGACTCGCAATTGTTCCACGGCCTTTCAGCTGTTGTCCCGACCTTATACACAGCATACTGACTGAGGGGAATTAAGTGGTACGTAAGGGTCTCTCGTGTCGGACGGATTGTATACATTCTAGAGATGTGAAACTGCTTGATTCAGTTTGTTTGGTTTGGTCTACAATCAATATTCTTTCATTCGGGAATTGAATCATGGAGCTGTCAGAGTCAAGATGTTCGAAAAGTTCAACAAGAAGTTTCCAACTCCTCAGAAATTGCAGAGAATCTTCATCCATCCATCCATTTTCATCTCCTTATCCGGGGTTGGATCGCTTCCCTTTCCCCAGCCACTTCGTCAAGCTCTTCAGTGGGAAACCCAGTGAGCTCCCAGGCCACCTGGGAGGCATAGTCTGCCCAGCATGTCCTGGGTTGTCCTCGGGGCCTCCTCTCCCTGGGATGTGCCCGGAACAGCACACCAAAGAGGCGTCCAGTTTCAGATGCCCAAGCCACCTCATCTTGCTCCTTTCAATGCAGAGGAGCAATGGCTTGACTCTGAGCCCCTCCCGGATGACCAAGCTTCTCATCCTATCTCTGAAGCCCCTATCCGGCTGAGCTGTGAACAATTGTGAGTTTTTTCAAAGGTAGCGAATGTGGCATTCACGTCAGAGTTCATCAAGGTCCATTCAGGGTCGCAAACGTTCGCCAGATGTTCATCTGTACTTTTCTTGTCGTATGGAAATTGTGAATGAACTCTGACGTAAACACACATTTTTCTACCTTTGCCACTTGTTCATCCCTCAGTGGGATAGAGGGGTTAAGAGCAAGCCCCGACACCCTGTAGACTGTAGAGTAAACTCATTTTAGCCGCTTGTATCCGGGATCTTGTTCTTTAGGTCACAACACACAACTCGTGACCATAGGTGTGGGTTGGAACGTAGATCAACCTCGCGAGGATCAGCGGTTTGGATAATGGATGAATAGATGTTCAAGGGAGATCGGCCAAGAGGCAGCAGCAAACACAAAATATGGTTATACTTTGTTCTTAAAAAATAGGATACAAGTTTACAAACACGTTATGAAAAACATGCGCATATTGTGGAATTGGTCCCAAAAACTTGGTTTGTATTTAAAAGCACTTATAGAAATGACATCAGTCAGCTTCCACTTTTTTCTGTTGCATAAGGAGCAGAGTAAACAAAAGCTCTTTCACCCAAATTCAATCAAGCATGAGGGACAGAAAAAAACAAATAATCTTGTGACCGATGTCAACAACATTCAGCATTTCTCAGCATGTTTTGGATTGGCTATACATTGTAGCAACAGCTCATCTCTCATCATTCATCCAATAACAAACAGGAAGTGCACAATGGGCCGACAGTGACACTGACATGCTGTTGATCGTCATATATTTTGAAAACACATGGGCCCTGGTCAGAGCTAAAGAAAATCAAACGACTTCTTTTTGCCTCCTCTGTAGGTGGGCTGTGGCGACCCGATATGGTCTTCCAAATAGCACCAACAGTCTTTATGCCAAGGCCAAAAATGAAATGAGCTAGCAGTTCCAACAGATGGTCAACCTGCCATGTTTAATGAGCTGCAGTTTACCACTTCTTTACAGCACATTTGATCTCTATGCCACAATCTGTCTAGCCAATCAATGGGGCTTTTGATATGCGTTGTCCATGGATGTTGGGCATCTGAGCATATCGACACCACCGCTGTTGAAGATAAGTAATTGCCTCCTGTTGTAACTGGAACGAAAAAAAGCTTTTAAAAACCCGCCTGCAGTGAAAGAATGTCAAAATCTTTCATTCATCTAATGGCAGTGGTTCTTAAACTTTCTACACCAAATACCACCTAAAAAAAATACTTGGCTCATCAAGTACCAGAAAGAAACCTAACTGAGACTGAATCTTCTCTGCTAATTGAACCCAAAAGATGCACTCCATTTAGGCTCTATTACCACATTTTTAAATTACAGTACTCATCATACTTTTGATCAAGCCTAAAAGATATACTATGCCAGTTCATCTGATAATCCCTTTAAAATAACCTCCCAAGAATGCATCAATATTCAAGAGTATAACATAATGTATAAATAACCACAGGTGGGTAGAGTAGCCAAAACTTTTATTCAAATAAGAGTACTGTCACTTTAAAATAATATGACTCAAGTCAAAATAGACTAGTCCTCCAACTAATTACTTGATACCTTTTTGACAGTTATTTATGACAATAAAATAGGGCTAATGTTAGACTGATCACATCTGACAATTACTGCAAGGTGTTTTTTTTCCCCTCAAGTCAGAAATGGGCTGAAATTTCGGAATTAATTAAATTCAGGCAGGCACAGCCAGACAACGCAGGATGAAGCTGTTGTGTTTCGTAGGCTGAGATGTAAAACGAGTCATGCGCCACTCAGTCAGGCCAGCCTTTGAAAGAGCTGCGAAAACGTCGTTTGACTGCCTGATGCCATTTGATCGGTGAAATCAAACGTCACTATCTATTAGCACCCATCGAGGAAGTTTTTCCGATGAGGCAAAACCAAACCGATTGTGACAAGACAATTATTGATTGACAAATAAAAGTACTGAGCAATAAACGCACCATTTTTTTCTTTCACATAAATACTCACGCAGAAGTATTTTGGATTAAAACTACTTCGTGAATACAATTTATCCAAAAAGATACTTGAGTTTTGAGTCAAATTAGCCCTTTGCAATCCACCTCCGCTAATCATGCTGCCCTTTTACAATTTCAACGACCCACTTTGGCAAAGCTGACATTCCACTTGTCAGTGTAATAAGAGCATGTAGAACTTGTGGAACTTTCCAGACACCCGTGTGCTTATGTGTTGCCACAACACGGCAATGCCAGCTCTCCTCTATATACCCTTATCGCTACCACTAACAACACACTGCTTACTTTAAGTGCTGAATGTCGGTGGAAGATTGTATGTCGACTCAGCAATGGGGCCTCATTTAGATGAACGCATCATAATATCAATTAAGCACGCGGATATAATTCCCACACAAGTAGTTGCATGTGTGTTGCTGCCAGGTTGCTTATTATTATGCAGGCCAGAAGGAGCAGCCCCTTCCTCAATGCTTTTATTGATTCAACAGACCTGCTCCACCTTTGACACATGGAGGAGGCATCACCACAAGCTCAAAGATGATGTCACTATCTGGCACATTGTGCCATTTTACTATGAGGAAGAATTTTAGCACAATTTATTTTTATAGTTGTGCCATTTTACTATGAGGAAGAATTTTAGCACACTTTATTTTTATACTCTGTGGCCCGGTGGTCCAGTGGTTAGCGCGTCAATCTCACAGCCACAGTGCAGAGGTCATGGGTTCGATCTCGGCTCCGTCCTTCCTGTGTGGGGTTTGCATGTTGTCCTGGGGCCTGCGTGGGTTTTCTCCGGGTACTCCGGTTTCCTCCCATATTCCAAAAGCATGCATGGCAGGTTGATTGAACATTCAAAAAATTGTCCCTCACTGTGAGTATGAGCGTTGATGGTTGTTCGTCTCTGTGTGCCCTGCGATTGGCTGGCAACCGGTTCAGGGTGTCCCCCGCCTACTGCCCGAAGACGGCTGGGATAGGCTCCAGCAAACCCCGCGACCCTTGTGAGGATGAAAAATTGTGACCCCTCCAGTGTTGAACTTGCCCATCCCCGCCTTCAGCCTACTGTATTTTAATGTTGGTCATAATGGTGGTTCTTGGGGAGCTTTTG